AAAAGAAGTCCAAACCTGTGTGTGCCAATCCAGACGATGATTGGGTCCAGAGGGAGATGAAGAGGCTGGATCCATCAATGCTGCATTAGGTAAAAAGATACATACCATGCTCTCCCAATGTCATACACTCTCAGAGGCTATGTACATTAACCATAATACACACCGCCTCTTTACAGAACGAGAAAAAGAAGAAGAAGATCACAGTGGACATCTTTATCTAGCTGTCCGAGATCGGATATCATCTTTAGTCATGTACACAGTTTACTAATACAGAAATATGTTGTATACTTAATGTTAGAGCCAGTATAAGTAAAATAATTTATGTGAACCATCTATGATACTATTCAACTGTGTGTGTATGTGAGAAAAATGTATCCTTAACATGCTGTTAACAGATAAGTTGAGGTTTTTTAAAAATATACACAGATTTGCTCATTTTTGCATCGGCACTAGAGTTGGACTTTGTGTTTTTCTTTTGCAAATAAAGAGCAAAACCAAACAGAACCTTTGGTTTGTATACTGCAACTTGATGATAGAAAATTAAAAACACTGCACTGCAACAGCATCCTTGAGATGTGCTTGAAAGGGAAATTTGTACAACCAAGGTATGCAGAACAGCATCTCTAAACACAACACATATGGAACTGTAGATGGCCTACAGCATGGATCCACCCATGTGCATCCATCGTGTCTTGTATCCGCAGTTCTGGCTGGTGGTGGGGGTGTAAGGCTGTGGGGCACGGTTATTATAGTTAGCTAAAACTAAATACAAAATTAAAACTAGATGTAAAAACAAAACCCTTTAGTTAACTAAAGATTGAAATAAAATCTAAAAACGATTATGTGACCTTGGAAAACAGAAAAATAAAAACATGGGAGAAATATCTCCATTTTCAGTATTTGTAATATTGGTAAAAAAAAACAACATTACGAGCTGGTCTGATGAGGGATTGATGAATGTATTTACTGAGACTCTTAATGCCAACAAGAGTGTAACTACTTTCAAAAAGTTCTGTATTTTTATTGTAATTTGTGCTGACTTTTGACATAAAGTATTTACAAATTAAACTAAACTAATTAAACCAAACACTTTTGAGCAAGAAATACTAAAAACAGTCATTTGAAAACACAAACTATAAAAACTCTGGTGTTGTGGATATTTACTTCACTTTGGTACCAACTTACACTGCAGCATATTATTGAAACAGTAGATTAATATCATGGATGTAAAGCCAACAAATCTCCAGTAACTGTGTGATGCTGACATATCGATATGGACCAAAATCTCAGGGGAAGCTTTTTAGCACCCTGCTGTGGCAGGTGAAGGCAAAATGGGGTCCAGTGCTCCTAGAAACTATTGCAACAACAAAATCGTCTTCAGTGCAAATTTTTGACAGCTAATTTAATTTTACAACAGACTTGAAAAAAACCTAGGATTTTATTTGTAACTTATTTTGGCAAATATTTAGGGTGATGTTAGTCAGATGGCCTGTTTTATAGTCTCACGGAAGACTAAAGATATTAGTTTTGTTTGTTTATTTGTTTTTTGTTTCATTGTTTGTTACTTACATTTTGCAACATGAATATTAGATAATATAATATTATTAGAATATCAGAATAGCATTTTAGGTCTTCATCACAAAGGATCATAAGCTCCTTCCACATATTTAATGCAGGCTCCAGTATACAGTGAGTTTTCACCTGGTGTTAGGCAGACAGGATGCGTAACACCAGGTGCGATAATTAAGACGTCCTGAACAGAGAAGACGTCGATCTCTTTTCCCGGAGAGCAGAGAAGGACAGTCCGGGAGCGGATGCAGTGGAATTCGAGTTGGGGTTGCTCGGAGCTCGACAACAGCTGTACATGGCCAGATCCTGGTGTCTCTGTTCTTTAGAGTCGCTGACGGAACCACCAGGTGGAGTAGTAACGGAGGAGAGCTGCTGCGTACGTGGAGGTAGGCCTACTGTTGGTCGGCGAAGGGTTCGCGGTGCGAATCTCGGACTGAGCGGCTACTAACTGCTGGTTGGACACTGCTGTGGATGTTTTGTCCTATTTCATTGTGCTACTCTGTGCTCGTGGTTCGGGAATTCCTCTCACTGGTTATGTTTTTGGATTAATATTAACAGTTTTTGTTTTTGGATTTTACGCCTTCCTCAGAGGTACTTTGCTTTCGTCTGATTTTAACGAAGGGGAATTAAAATATTTTTGTAAAGTTATGATTATTGTTGTGTTTCTGCTCCACTCTGTTTCTAGCACAGCTCACACTGCTGAGGCACCTAAATTGTTAAAATAAAATTAGAGATCCTCGGCTATTTTGAGGTGGCGTTTCCTTTTTCAAACACCACCCAAAGCACCCGTCATTCCGCGGATCGATCGATTGATTGATTGTCTTACCCACATATAGTGTACAAGTGTCCCAGTCATCGTAATCTAAGAAGCTTGTCATGAAAAGCGTCTGGACTAAATTTCTTGAAGACGTTGAAGAACAGAACTGGATGAGTACAGATATTACTGCCCCTGCTTTAGAGAGGTGAAGTGTCTCAAGGTTTATAAGGTTGGGGAAACCTGCAGTCAGCTGAGACTGAAGAAGTCACCTGGATGAGTGACGAAACGTTTCTCCCACTGAAAACGCTACGTCCAGAAGAACAGAATCAACTCATCTGAAACCTACATATGTGAGTATCATTATTTAAAGTTCTCAAGCTTATTTTAGAAGTTCACACACTTCATTAAATGTCGATCATGCACTTCCTAAATTAGGTTTTTCTTTTTCCGTCAGTCTGTGCTTATTAATTATGCTGGAATTTGACAGTGCAGGAAAACAAAACCAGTCAGAAGTGAAGGATCTTACACTGTATACTCACAAAACAGCTGTCATGTTGCAGACAGTGTTCGGTTCCTGCATAGTGTAACCGACGATGTTTCTCTTCTTTTTTATGTCGTTAACATAGCCGAGGCAGCACTTGCCATACGAGCCTGGAGAGAAAGTTAGAGAGTAACGGAGAAATAAACCACCCCGCTTGGAAATGTTGTGGACGTCTGCCAGTCAGTGCTGTCCAGTATTATTCCCACATCCCCTCACTAAAAAAAACAACAGGTGTTCAGAAACAAAGACAAAGGAATGAGGCTTCAGGAACTGTGGTTAACCCAAGATATGGCATAAAAAACCCACCAAAAGATGGGTGCATATTTTTAGTCAGATTTTTAGAAGATACTGTGAAGAGCTGCATGGTTACATTTCTGTGAATTCTGTTAAAAGTAGATATTTAAGTGGAAATGTCACAGTTGAGTTCTGCATCCAGTCCATTCTGTTTGACTTACCTTGTGCCAGACTCAGATACGTGCAGATGAAGAGAAGAATGAAAACAAAAGCATGAAACTTCATCGCTGCTGCTGTTGTTCTTGTTGTTTTGCTCATTGCACAGAAACACTAAGAGATTAAATAAAAGAGCAAAGTCAAACAGAAAGGTGGAGGCAGAATAAATCACACCCACTGCTTTACAGATGTTGGGCAAATATACAGTTTTTTCCAAAGCAAATCCCTCCCTCTGCTCTTTCATAAGAGCACAGAGGGAGGGATTTGTTCTCATTTCTTTAGTTCAATCTAAAAAACATCCCAAAGGTGCCCTCAACAAATTTGATTCAAGCTACAACGACTACAGCAGATACAAAGTAACTGAAGGTCACGTCATTAAGAAATCAGAGAAAACATCCGTCAATGATTTGGCACAGGAACCAGGATGTGTATATTAATGAGACCAATAGTGTGATACTGAGTTCAGTATGTAGCCCACTATATTGTGCTAAATAAATCATTTTTTGGGAAATCAAAAAATATGCTAAATATTGTACTACACTAAATGAAAAATGATCACCTGTGAATAAAAATATACACAAAATGTATAATTTGTGTTGACCATCATGTCTGGTTCTGAAGAATCAACATGCTGGTTTAAAGCTTATAAAAATTGCACAAACTCTTTTTGCCTCAGCTGCTGCGTTTCCATTTTTATTTGTAAATTTTTCACTACATTACTGCATCCATTTTCCATTTTCCAAGCAGAATGTAAAGAAATGAGGGGTGGTTCTACACTGTCGCACAGACCATATGGGAAATGTGAACATGTTTAATTGCTGTGAAATTGTTGGCTCATGTGAACCATCTAGTGTTCTCTTAATTACTTAAAAAAATCCTGAACAATACACACTTTTTTACTGACACGAATGATAAAAATATTTAATGTTGAATATTTTTGTTTCAAATTTCATTATCAGTTATACCAGTGTTCCCAGTTCACAGGAAAATCTGACAACATTGTTAAACAGGGTCAGAAAAATAAAAATAAACATTTTACTTAAGTCCTTAAATTTAAATAATTATATATAAACATTGCATTTGGGGGGTTAAGACAGTTATTTACATATTAGATATTATATATTTTGACTTACCTTGTGCCAGACTCAGGTACGTGCAGATTTTATTTTTATTTTTATTTGAATTTTATTTTATTTGTATTCTTTCACTTATTGTTGCATTTGTGTTGTTGCTGCCTGTGTTTGAGTAATTTCTGTAACTGTGAGACACCTGCTGCTGCCGATCTTGGCCAGGTCTCCCTTGAAAAAGAGGTTTTTAATATCAATGGGATCTTCCTGGTTAAATAAAGGTTAATAAAATAATAATAAAAATAAATAATCTTATAATTGCTGTATACACTACAAAGCCATCACCTTATGTTATCTAACAGGTGAAGAGTTATTGAGCTAGAACAGATTCCTATTTTGTAACAAATATGTGACAGAATACAAAGAAATAAACTTCAAAAGAAGAATAAAAACAAAGAAATGCTATCGTTGTTATGTGTCGCTTGTTTCTAGCCTGGAAACAGAGAAAACATACTTTTAACAGTGTTTTTAGGCTGTGATTGTAACTCTTGTTTTTCTTTCTCCGTTGCTGCAGTCGGTCTCTGTCTCATTGGTCCAGTTCTCATAGCAGACAAAGCCGGTCATTGACCCAGAGCCACAGATCAAGAGCACAGCTGTAGCACAGTCCCAGCCAGACGTGGGCTGTGTTGGTGTTCTTGGCTGCCTCCTTCACCAGTTCCTGCTGTTCCGGGTTTGTGATGGAGACCAGGTCAAACATGCACTCTGCATTATTTTAAGGCCTCATGCTATTATTTTTCTTTCTTTAATCAAAGGTTTTTGTTTCTCTTTGTATGTTGTTTTTTTTAAATAAAAAATTGTTACTTGCTCAGGATAAGTATTACTATAAATCTTGTATCTTTGTCAGATTATGGAAAGTTTATATAAGCATACAAATGCTGTGGTATATTTTACTCTACAGTACGTATCACTTTTAAACTTCTTTAGGAATAAAGCATTCTACAGTTTGAAAAATAAAAAACAGCTTCTAACACATTAGCTTTGAGGACCAAATGTTGCCTTGGTCCCTGATGTATCCCACCCACTAACAGGCTCTATGATGAAGAGATAATCAGTGTAATTCACCTTACATGTCCGGGGTCATAATTTTATGCCTGATCAACTTAAATGATTGTTATGTGTCATCTGTTTCTAGTATTGGCACATTTTTAACCCATGGCTGCTACACTGCTTTTAAAACCAGTCACAGAGAACAGATGAAGTTAAACTTCTCTTCATCATCTTTCTTCAACCATTTATGTTCTCCTCCTGTCTCCATGGCTACAGCCAGGTTGCAATGTCCAGTGTCTGTCTCATTGGCCCAGTTCTGATAGCAGGCAAGCTGGTCATTGACCCAGAACCACAGATCGAGAGCGCAGCTGTAGCGCAGTCCCAGCCAGACATACGGAGTGGTGGCATTCTTGGCTTTCTCCTTCACCAATTCTTGCTGTTCACTGCTTGTGATGGAGACCAGGCCATCATGGTGCTTTCTGCAGTAAATTAAGGCGTCGTCCCAATTTTTGCTTTCATTGATCAGGATCCATTTTTCTGTCATGAAAGAACACATGATGTTCGTTTATAAGAACAGAAGAAAACTCCATAGTAGTTTGTGTTATTTAGCTTGATGATGAAACTTATACCAGCGTTCCTCATGTACACTTCTTTCAGTGAGAATAAGAAAGATTTAAAAAATTATTTTAACATTTATTCCTTCAGTAAGAAAACTGACAGAAACCAGATGTAAAAGCTGAATCTTTGCAAATCTCACCATCATAGCAGAAGAAAGGTTTTGTGTTGTTACAATCATCAGCGCTCCATTTTCCTTCTTTGTTTAATGCAATCATCGCACACTTCCTGGTGCCGCTGTCAGTTTTAGACAGCTCTACAGGCAACTCATGCACACTTTCCCAGTGTCTGTAAGAAGAATTACTCCCATCTGACCACCTCCAGGTGTCTCTGAACAGACCGATCCATGATGGTGGTTTACCAGATAATTTACTGACTGCTTCCTTTAACTGTTCTGCTCCACTGGCCAGGTCTGTGTGGTGCTGTCTGCAGTAGCTCTGAGCCTCACGCCACTTTTTTTTTGTGTCAATCAAATGGAGTGATTTGTTTTGTTCTGTGGAATAAAGAGAAAAAAGTGTCACAAGAAATGCAAATTTTTTGATCTCAGACAATAGTTTTTTTTCATGAAAACTGGAAAATATTAACCTGGAATACTGAAAATTGTGATCCTTTCATTGTGCTGTATTGTAACAATAAGATCAATAATTAATGACTAGCTCAATAATTCACACTGCATGTCGAAACAACCCACTAACAAAAAATGCGACTTAAAAAAAGAGTCCAAAGCTGAAGTATGATTGTAAAAATACTTTCATGTTTTACTCTCTGTAGCAACGTTAGGGGAATACCCACTGCTGTGACATCGTGCTCAGGATGTCTTTGCTCTGTGTGGCAGAGAAACAGTTCTCTGAAGTTTTATTATTTTCCAGTTAAATTTACACAATTTATTTCCTTTCCTTTTCATAGTCTTTTATTTTAGGTCACGAGCAGTTGTCTAAGCATTTCACTGCATATCGTACTGTGTATGACTGTGAATGTGACAAATAAAATTTGAATTTGAATTTTATGTTATTTTGTGTAATACCATTTGGCACCACAAGATGGTGCAGTAAATCAATGAAACATACAGCCTGCTCTGCTCTAAAAAAAAAAAAAAAAGCAGTGCTTCTTTTCATATTCATTAGAGGTGAATTATATTTAAATATGAACAGTTATTTAATTAATTAATAAATGATTGCCTTATTCTCACCATTATAGCAGACAAAAGCGTGATTGTTAGAACAGCCAACATCCACCAGCCCATCAGGGCTTTTAATCCGTCCACAGTTCTCAAGATGTTCAGGTTTATCATTAGGTTCCCCTACTTTCCATTTCATCTCTTTATCATGGAACTCCACTCCTGGCAGAGACCAGTGCCACATCCTGTTTTCTCTTCCTGAGATGCTGTACAGCCCAATCCAGGCGTTTGCTTGATTCTCTGTAGAATCTATGTACAGAGTCTCCCTATATGTCACGTCAGGCACTGTGGCCAGGTCTTTATATCCTTCTCTACAGTAGCTCTGAGCTTCGTCCCATGTTTTAGGCTCTTTAATAAAATAGTACTCATAGCGCTGGCATGAAAACAAGGAACACTGACCTAAAAAGAAAAAAACAAATATACACCTTCATAAATGTATAAACATAATGATGTCAGAGAAGTCATTAAGAAAGTTAAATCAGGAGGGAAGACATCACATAAAGAAAGCAACACATGCCTAAAACGAGTAGTTTCAGTGCTTTTAGTGATTACACAGTAACAGCGCACTAATCTGAAGTGAATTATTTTGTAGTTTTTCCAGTAAAATGATCTACTTACCCATTAGAATGAGCAGAAAAGGTCTCCAGTGCATCTTTGCTCTGTTTGATAGACCCAGTATTTCAGTGTGTGGTTAGTTTTTTTAAAATTGTTGTTGTTTTTAGAAGTGGAGAAAAGACAATTGTCAAAGTTAATATGGTTTCACTGCTTTGTCTAAGAAAGCTCAATAGAAGGATGGATAGAAATAACAAAGGAGGGAAATGTGCAGATGATAAAAATGCAACTAAACAAGGAAAATAAACAAGAAGCTGAGACTTTTTGTTTTGTTTTGCAATTTCACAGCTTGGAACAGCCGTTTTAACACAAACTGTTTTACTGCAGGACTATTTTATCACTGCCTTATATTGATATTTTTGTTTCTGTCATTATAGCCACCCCCTGTGACAGCAAACAAGAATAAACCATGGGCTCTACATTTAATATGTGAAAATACATTAATATCAATCTCTAAAGAAATACATTTTAACCTCTATTCTGAGCCAATAATGTCAAATTACACTACAAAGTTTCTACTTACGTCAGGTTGTTCCTCTGTCCCTGCTTCACTCTGATCTGTTCTTATTCTGGGTCATTGAATGAAACATTCAGCTCTAACAAGAGGATTCTGTATTATGTATTTGAACATTCAAAACAGAAGTCAGTCATTCACAATCTAATCTAGATGAAGCCATGGAAAACAGGAAAGACGACAGGCCGATCTTAAATTCAAAACCGGACCAGGAAATGTGCAGCTATTGCACATTTAAAAAACAAAAACATTTCAATAAATTCAAATTATCTGTCAACATAATGCCTTTCATCCACTTTGAAGGTGAGATTCATATCATATGGTTATTTATAGCTACTCTAAAGATGCAGCATTTGACATCTGCTTTCTATCGGTGTACTTTATGAAGATGAACTGAAACTTTTACTCCCACAAATCCCTTTTTTCCTATTTAAAAAGCACACACAGCTGGTGGGTGTCAGCCACGTGAGCCAGTGATAATACTCAAGTGTGTGACTATCTGTGATGTGTCAAATTCTAGTAGATTTATATCAAAGTTTGCAGTGATCAGTAAATCTAATTGTGGTGGAGGTGTGGTCCCTGGATCAACTGCAGGGGACGGGTGGTGCCAGGGAGGTTGGTGGGTCAGGTGGGGATGATTTGTGATGAGGTTTTCCCCTTTTTCAGTGATGTCGCAGACCGGAGATGGAGGAGGAGGGTGCAGCTGACTGCAGAACTGGCTGCCGTGGGTGCTGAGAGTGAAAGTGTCACTGAGCGATTAATAAACCCATAAAGGTGAACACGGGGTGCTGGCTCCTTTACAGTTGTTTACAAATCATTTTTATAGCAAATGAAAAAGAAACCAAGTGTTTGTTCCATCACTTACCTTGAATAAGAGGGACAGGAGACCAGCCACAAAGGCTGGCACATCCCACATCGATGGAGACAACACTGAATGTCACACCGCTCAGAGAAAAACACTGAAACATGACTGTAGAAAAATGTGGTCCACACCGAACAGTCATTAAAAACATACGAACAGAATTATATTAAGGTTTGTAACTTCATCATGCACATATTGTTATTAGACTTTGTTGGTTCTCGCTGGATGAAACTGGATGCAAAGAAGATTAAAATCTCGTAGTGACTGGTTGGGTCGCTGCAGTTTTTCATGTTGGTCTGCAAACACAAAGTGTCACAAGGAAAAACACTCATTCTTATCAATGTTATATAGATCAATATTTAAGTATAATTTCCCAATAATACACATCTTATGTGTAGTGAGGTGTTTTATACTAGTGTGGTCATCCTGTAATAAATATATAACAGTGTTCAAAGAAGTAAACGGAGAATAAACACAAAAGAAAAGTTATTATTGTTTGTAGCCTGGACGATGCAACAATATTGTATTTTTCCAGACTTGCTAGAAATAAAAGGTCTATCACCGGTAAGCCTGTCAGAAAGAATAGATGAAGTTTAACTCTTCATCTGTTTTCTTGGACCACTCGTCTTCTCCTGCTTGCTTCTACAGACATGTCAAACTGTCCAGTCTCTGTCTCATTGGTCCAGTTATCATAGCAGAGAAGCTGATCATTGACCCAGAACCAGAGATCAAGAGCACAGCTGTAGCACAGTCCCAGCCAGATGTGTTGGTGTTCTTGGCTGCCTCCTTCACCAGTTCCTGCTGTTCCATGTTCATGATGGAGACCAGGTCAAAGGTGCACTCTGCAGTAATTTCAGGCCTCATCCCGTTATTTGCTTTCTTTGATCGTGATCAACATTTCTGCCATGAGTAAACACAGATGTTTGGTTGAATCTGAGGACATCGGGCTTCAGTAAGAACGACATTAAAATGTGAGGCGAAACAAAACAGGGCAAAAAAGACAAACAGAAGAAAAAGTACGAGTTAGGCTTTACGTTTTGACTTTAACATTTTCCCCGTATCATCTTTACTTTTCTTACTTTACTTCATTGTTTGCTTTCTTCATTTCAATATGGCATCTTACTTAAAATTCTAAAATTAATTAAGTAAGAATGCTGACAAAGACCTTATTTAGAAATCTCACCATCATAGCAAAAGAAAGGTTTTGTGTTGTTACAATCATCAGCGCTCCATTTTCCTTCTTTGTTTAATGCAGTCATTGCACATTTCGTAGTGCCACTGTCAGTTTTAGACAGCTCTACAGGCAACTCATGCACACTTTCCCAGTGTCTGTAAGAACAGTCACTCCCACTTGACCGCCTCTGGGTGTTTTTGAATGATAACTAATAAGTAAAAAGTTATATCAAAACTAAGAGAGTGAAAATGGTGAGTGAAGAGAAAATACTCAAGTAAAACCCTCAGCAGCTTAAACCTGTTGCAGTGTAGCTGGAAGCAGCTCTCCAAACTGGGAGCTGGAACGGCAAGGGCGGGGTAAGTGGTCAGATTAGATCAGATTGGTGATCTAATTGATCACCAATCTGATCCAAGGGGTGCTGTGATGCAAAGAGCTGCCGAGTACAAACCAGCTTCAGGATGAAGGAGTGCATTGCCAGAGGATGGAGGTGGCAGACAACAGGACGGCTGAGGGAAGGAAAACAAAGGCTGAATAAATGTTTCTATGAACAAAACCCTCTTTCTGTGAAACTGTGGTGGCCAGCACTAACTGTGGTTAGCTGAAGACTTGGCAAAGAGTCGTGGTGAGCACTGCTCATCAGTAATGGCAGCTCAGTTGCCAGCAGGTGTGGAGACACACAGGAATGCAGCGACTCCACCCAGGGGTGGAAATGACGACTCGGTGGAAAAACCCAAGCACTCACCTGGACCATGACAATTTCATGTTAGCACTACTGGCACCACTTTCTCTGGTTTATAAAATATAGTCTATTTCGAGGAAGAACAGTAAAGAAAGCATGGAAATGTACAGACTTTACTATTGTTACTTCAAGTTTTAGGAATATCTGCCTCCATTCACTGTAAAAAACAAACAAACAAACAAACAAACAAATAAAAAAGACTTCAAATAAACATTTTTATAAAAGAAAATGGTAAAAACATTCAGACCTGGACATTGGTCTTCATTTGTCTTTGATTGTCTCCCTTTTGTGGGCTAAGGAAGAATTTACTGCTGGAACAGGAGGACTGTAATCTGCATTTGAATATTAAAAAAATAAGTCTGAATTCCATTACATCCTTCAACATCTAATTTACATAATCCCAAACTGCTCAACCCGACTCTGTTCCTCTGATATACTTCTTCCTAATCCTGTCCTTTCTGGTCACTCTCAGCAAACATCTCAACATCTTGAGCTCTGCCTCCTTCAGGTTTGGCTCCTGTCTTTCTGTCAGTACCACTGTCTCCACCGTCCTTCTGTGGAGTGCACATTTTCAAGCCCCAACGCTTTTTAAGTGTTTTGACTACCACCATGCTGGTTTTGCTGGAGCCATAGAGTACTGCATTTGTTGAGGGTAGAGTGCTAAGCTATCAGCTAATGCTTTGTTATTATGAAGCTACATCCACTATCTGTACAAGTGCATCGGAAACAGACAATAAAATACAGTATAAGCCACCAAATCTCAAGAAAAAGCTTTTTGGATCATCTGTATCATTCAGCGAGCTAAACATAGTGAACAGTCTCAGGTTCTGTGAGCTGAGGTGAGGTCCACACACAGGTCAGCTATAGCCACCACTAGGAAAACAGATCTCCTCCATACCTGCTCATGCCCAGGAGGACGGGGCTGTGCCCCCCCCCACACACCCTCTAGCAGATCATTACATGAAGGAACCTTTTAAAAACAAGCGCGTCCATGCTCACAGGTGTACCACGGGTGATCACACACGCAAACTACACCCTTTTTGGCTCCTACCTCAAAGCACACTGTGCGCTCTCGATCTTACGTGCTGCACAATAATGTTTAATATTTAGTATTTACAGTTATATTCCCATAGATCATCGTGATGTTGTTTATTCTATAGCTCTCGTTTTCTTCTGCTTGTTTTCTTTTTTCATTCCCAACAGGTGAAATTAAAAAAGTATCTACTGTTATCTATTGTTAGCTAGTTTCTTGTGATGGTGTTGTTTTTATTATGTTGCTCTTTGTTTTTTGTTTTCTCTTCTGGTTTTTCATCTCCATACAGGTGATCCAGTTGTTTTGTTTGTTTTTCTTTTTTTTCCCTTCCCCCCTTTCTCACCTTCTCTTCTCCCCTCTATTTTTCTTTCTCTCCCTCTCTTTCTGTCATTCTTTCTCCCTGTCCAATCCCCCAGTCATGTCTGTCTTATCTTTAAAAAACGAAAATAAAATAAATACATAATTATAATAAAGGTCAAATGGACCAATATGGCAAGTCCATGATGATCCACTTGGTAAAGTAAATCCACTTGGCATCTTTCTTGGCCTTCAGACAACAATTGTGATGGCTAAAGATCCAAACGGGACACACACAAAAAAAAAGGAAAACAGAAAAACGAAAACACAAGAAACACAATCATAAAATCAAAACAGGAACCAAGACTCAAAAATATTAGTTCTGTATTTCTCAAAATTCTGTTTAAGATACCATTTTGTATAAAATCCTGTGAAAGTTATTATCACCAAAATTAAATTGACTAAATAAATAAACTTGCTTTTTAAATCTAGTAAAGGAGTAAGGTATACTGCCAGTGAGAGGCAAGTGTCCAAAGTTTTTATCAGTTACATGAAATTGCCAAAATGAAGCCTTATTTTCCTCCTAAAGACCTAGAAAAACTCATTCATGCGTCCATCACCTCTAGCCTGGACTACTGCACGTCTCTCTATTTAAACAGCCTTCTCTCCAGCGTTTGCAGTTAGTCTAACACTTGTCTTTTAACAGGTGTT